ATAGGTATTGACGGACTATTTCTGTTCCCAATACATCAAAATAATAGTAGGTAAAGGCTAATAACATTTTGATCTGGACTGTCCAATGGAATATAGTTGAGGCTTGATGGAGGCACATTAAAATAAATCTGAAATAAAGTTGTTATTAGCCCTCCCAGAAATCAGTCAATGTCACAAAATATGTTTAATTGACTAGTGACTTTAGGGTCTTGTTATTTCACACTTCTGTTTGCAGGGACAGTCTTGACATTACCAAAGTTTGGTAATCATCACTAGCTCATCATGCGTTTGTCTGCAGAAATGTGTTACTAAATTGACATTTCATGTGTTACAAGCATGGGTGTGAGTACACTATTCCCTTGCTGTTGCGCCCTTCAATATAGCGCTAATTCGGTTATTATAGCGCGCGATGATGCATGGCTCTCAAAAGTTATGTACAATTTTAATAAGCTATGTGCTTGAAATGGTTCTTGCACAGATGACCCTATCATATAAGGATCTATGGATCCTATGATCCTGGATTGATGATAGTTACATCAGCATCAAAGATTTCACCAAAATGGTTAATGTCTTAGACCTGCATCACTCCAGGCTTTACTCCATAATAAACTGATGTGTCCTGTGTTAAACCCAATTCCCTCACCCCCTCCCTCACTCACTCACTCACTCACTCACTCACTCACTCACTCACTCATACTTAAATTGACTCTTTTGAGCCACTCATTCAAAGCTCACTCTAAACTTTTGATACACATCGGAATCTATGTGTCATATGTCATAAAGTCATGTTTCAATATGGACAATACATTATCATGTACTTAAGCAAATAGCGTTTAACTTGTGAAGGCAAGCATTCAGAAAAGAACCTGTGAAGACAAGCATATAGAATCAACCTGTTAAGGCAATCATATAGGGTTCAGTGAGTGAGTGAGTGAGTATTGTTTTATCCCGCTTTTAGCAATATTCCAGCAATATCATGGCAGGGGACACCAGAAATGGGCTTCACACATTGTACCCACATTTGGAGTGTACTCTTTAAAGGGGAAGTGTACACGCAAAAATCACTTTCTTTCTTTTTCTAAACAAAACGCAATTTTAGAATTAGTTAGTATCTGTGTTTGAAAATATACACTCATTTTGTTTCACAGTGAAAGTAGGAAGCTCACAATAGTGTGAAAATGATATGCCGTTATGAAGCCTTCGTTTTACGAGCGAAATAGGCCTGAGTTATCCCCCTTAGATTATGACGTAATTGGTGCCAATTCAACTGGGTCCCTGTCTATTCTCAACGCAAAAGATATCAACGACCAGTTTGCGGTAAAACAACATGGTCTACGACACACTCCGGCGCAGTGGTGACTCAGCATAACACAATTCTGGCTGGCATCTGAGACGCTAGAATCACAAAACTGTACCTACACCACGTGAAGCGGCTCTAACAAAGCATGATGACGTCATAATGTTTATCAATTGGCACCAATGACGTCATATTGCAAGGGGCATAAGCCATGGTGTTTTTGTTATGGAAATAGAACACTTGGTAAAAGTGAAAAATATAAATCGTTTTAATGCAAAAAATATGTTAATTAAATTTGATGTTTTTATATTTTTGTCTATGACACTTCTATGTTAACACTTTTAATGTGGAAAAAGTACAAGAAAAATTGGTTCATTTCCGTGTGAACTTGCCCTTTAACCACTAGGTTACCCCACCATCCCTACAGGGTTCCATCTGTGAAGACAAACATACGGGATACACATGTGAGAGCAACAATATATGGATCAACCTGTACACACCTAGGTTTAACTTACAGAGCTCAAGCTGCTTCATTGAATCTACTGCTTCTTGAATCTATTATGTCATCAATAACACCACTTATTACCAGTTGTATCACTAACATTATAATATTACCATCCCTTATTTTGTAGGAGATGATTCTTAATTTTTGTCATATATAAATTTGATCAAATGTGACCAAAGAATTATTCATCTCCTCACAAGATCTGCTGGTTTAATGCTGTACATGTGATGCTTTTCTCAGGCTGTGACTGTTACATACTGTATGTGCTTGTATATGGCAAACAACATGCTGTGTACTCCAGCCTAGGGTCAAAACTGTCATGATTGATGCCAGGAATGTTCTTTACAACTCTTCTGAAGGTTTTTATAAAAGTTTCTGGCCAATTTGCTTACCGATTGATCATGCATCATAATTATTGCCTGTCATAGCTCAATATGGAAGTCCATCACCCAATCTGGACGTGCGGCGCTGAAGTCCATTACAAAACTATATTGGGGTCCCAATTAAAAAAAATATAGAATGAGGCCACAAGAAATTAATTAGTTGTTCATCAGATGTTTTTCCTGAGTGCAGAAGAGGAGGGCATTGATTGTGTGTTAGTGTTTTCGGTTCAGGGAAGTAATTTTGTATCTTGAGTAGATTAATTGCCACAAAAATATACCACTAGTTTTTCTGATTTCCGAAAAATGGAAGAGGAAAATTATCAAAAAAATAATCAAGTTTTGTGGCCTAGGAGTGTTTTAGCCTGTGTTCTGTTACTTGTCTTGGATCTTATTAGGACCTGGATACTGTTTCAAAAACTGTCATCTAGGTAATTGGCATAATCATTTCACATCAGAAATATGTGTAAGCCTTTTCTGCACGATGTCATGGAGGACAGTTATAATAGCGTCCTTCAACAACATAGCCTGTTGCACTAGAATTATCTTAATAATAGATGTGTTGATGAGCTTGTTATTCCACACCTGAAATTAGCCATGAAGATTGCATGCTTCATATTTAGATCAAGGTGAAACAAACACTGATCTTATACATTTCTATGTAAATCACATTGCCAATTTCAATGTTGTAATACATCCTTTCTGAAGCAATGGCATCCTCCTCCATTAAGTGTTAAGCTTCAATCAGGTCAACATTCTTGTTCTTTTCCACAACTGGGGCATTAGGGTAGACTATTGGATACAGCAGTTTATCATCACCCCAAACAAGATGTCAGATTAACTTTACTTCAAATAGTTTTTCAGTTGAACCTTGTTATATCGAACACCCTTATCTCGAATGTACCAATATCTCAAACCTATTCTCCAGTCTGACCACTCTGGAGTATCTGTATCATGCCTCCTTATCTCGAATGTACCAATATCTCAAACCTATTCTCCAGTCTGACCACTCTGGAGTATCTGTATCATGCCTCCTTATCTCATATGTACCGATATCTCAAACCTATTCTCCAGTCTGACCACTCTGGAGTATCTGTATCATGCCTCCTTATCTCATATGTACCAATATCTCAAACCTATTCTCCAGTTTGACCACTCTGGAGTGTCTCTTTCATGCCTCCCTATCTCGAATGTCCGGTTATCTCAAGGTTACATGGTTCTGTTCGGTTCACGGTTACAGGGGTTGACTGAATATCACAATGTGACAGTTTAATGTGGAGGTAAGCCCCAAGTGATGCAAGTTGTGATACACAAATGTGTTTTATCTGACACTAAATTGGAGAAAAAACCTACAGCATGTTTCAATATAAGACTGTTATCTTTAGACATGATGATGCAAAGTTGAATTTGGATCCAAATACTAATTTAGAATGTAGAGTTGTCAGCAAGTAGTATCGTTGTACATTGAAAACAGTATTCTGTATTCTGCCCTGACCAAACTTAACATGAACAATTAGGAGTTAGTGAGCATAGGGTGGAGGCTTAAGCTTTTGAGCACCAAACTGAATTGAGGAATCACTGATAATTGCCTTTTAAACAGAGCATGACACAAACATTGTTGTATGTGTATACTTTACTTAAATGAATGAAAGGTATTAAATGTATTGGTATGGCGATTGTAAGCATACATTGCCCGTATTAGGGGACAGCCCTAGTGAAAATCAGTGGCCATACATATTGGTATATGGAAATACAGCAAACTATGCTGGCTTTATAACAAGCTCCCCACCACACTTCACCATTATGAATCCTGGGAGGATTCTAGGTTAGAATAGATCACCAGGAACCTATAATCTTTGGTTGCAATAGGGGGTGACTTACCCTGTGAAGATTCTGGTTTGGAATAGGCCGCCAGTAACCTATTACCTTTGATTGCAATAGGGGGCGACTTTACCCTGTGAAGATTCTGGTTTGGAAAAGGCCGCCAGTAACCTATAACCTTTGATTGCAATAGGGGGTGACTTTACCCTGTGAAGATTCTGGATTGAATAGGCAAACAGTAACCTATAACCTTTGATTGCAGTAGGTGGCGACTTTACCCTATTAAGATTCTGGGTTAATATGATATTAATATATGACTTTCTTATGATGCAGCCATGAAATCAACTGTTTCAATTAGAGGTTATTATGTTAATTTGAACCACTTATTGACCAATTTGAATGGTGTTAAGAAAGACCAAAATGACACATTTTGTAAGATACTAAGAAGAGACTAAGGATCATGATCAAAGTTAATCTGATTTTCAAACAACAACCAGCTGATTCAGAAAAACACTGCACAGCACATCACAGCCCCCATGACGAATGGGCTACTCGTTCTCCACCAAAAGGCTAAGGGACGCAACTCTGCAAGCAAATTATGGCAACCTTGACAAGGGCCACAAGTGACCCCACCTAAATAGCATCCCATGACTTATGGCCATGCTGTCCCCCTTAAAGCCTGTGAACAGATATACTTGTTTTTGTTATAAGTGCTTTAGAAAGGTGTTTCTTCATCTCCTAAAAGCTTGAACATTTGCATCTTGGGAAATACCATATTCGACGTAATGAGTGCCCAGGGCGCTCTCAAAATTTAAAATAGGGAGCTCTTATTAGAATATTATTGTGGTGTACATTGATCAATCAGAAGGAGTGCTAATTGGGATTGTTCTCTAGCCAATTTGTAGATTATGCTTCCTTGCATGTTATAAGTTTGTAAGTGAAGATTTTGTCAGGTATTATCCACAGAATTAGTAAGTGAAATAATATTCCGTTTCAGGGTTTTCATGGAGAGCTGTCTACAAACCTGACAGAACCCGAAGATCAGTTTTACACATCTCGAGATAATCTATGGCACCAGGAGATAAGCATCAATGGAAGAACCCTCCTTATTCAGGTAAACTTTTCAGTCTATGACCTTTTCTTCTCTGGGAGTGCTTAACTTGCTGTTTAAAAATTGGTAGTATCTTGAACATTTCAACAACAATAACTGCCATCTAGTAATCTAATCACGACATGAGTTTGATGCTTGCCATAAGCCATTTCCAGCTTGATTTAATGCTTGAGATGATTTGCTATTTTTTACTGATATTGCTAGTGTAAGAAGTTGATACATGAAATCATTTAATGTCTACTATTACGGAAGGTAATTGCAGATCCAGCAGATTGTCATATTGATCAATAAAAAAAGGGTCAATTACCTGAAAATATTTGCCGTTTTGAATCTGTTTAGCTGCATGAGTGCACCAATTAATCATTATGACTAACCCTTTCAAAGAAACTTTTTTCATATTTCTTAATTTTTTAGTAACTCTGTATGATCTTCATTTTTGTTCTTCTAAAAGTATTATGTAGAAAAGGTAAGTCACAAGGCTACAGCTGAATCGGTAAAAACTTTGAGTTCTGGAGCACACAAGCTGGTGGTTGATAGTGTTCTGTCTATGCTGTGTGGTTATCATTGCAAACTATTATAATCACCCAGGCCATACCTGCAGAGAGTTGATCTGCCACATGGCTACCCATCCAGGTAATAGTCATCCCATCCAGATCCAATTCTTGGCAATCCCAGCTGTGATGTGGGTGGAATATTGTGTAATTGGTTCGTTACAAGGGCTGATGATGATGACTACAGGAGGAAGATTAGACTTCTGTGTCTATCATTGTAGCCCCAAACATGCACTCTAGTTCCTGCCAACGGTTTCTCTGGTCCAGGTTGAATGACGGTGGGGTTGGGGTTTGGGTTGGTTATATTTTTTATTGAAGAAAATAATTTGTTCCTGAAAATACTGGAAAATAATCATTCTGCCTCCGGTTTCACGACAACAAACATTATTCACAAGACATGTTGGTTGTCCTAATAGAAATCCCCCTGCCACTGATCCTCTTCATGAGGCAAGGGAGTTAACTGACTATAAAAGTCCAGTTTCCATCCTTGCCGAACTAGCCTGGAATTATCTAGTTATGTTTTGGCTGGACGAACAAGTCTATGCATAGTCCAATCAAAATCGGGAATAAACGTCTGGTTCGTAAACTGCCAAGCAGATTTCAGTCAATTGCGGGATTTGCGAAGCATGTGTACTGTCAACTTAGTGTCAACAGATATTTTCCAAATCTTTTCATGTTTTTAATCAAGATGTTCCCGTGATTTTATGCACTTCGGGAAGTTAGACCTGTTGATTATCGATCAAATTGTCTTCACTGGGTGCCACCATTTTGTTTGAGGCAAATGCAAATGAATGAGAGATGGAATCTGATTGGTCAATAGAAGGGACATTACTCATAATAGCCACTGGTGGCGCTACAATAAAACCCTAAAATTCCAGCCAAGTTAGGCAAGGGTGCAAACTGGACTTTTACAGTCAGTTAACTAACTCCCTTGCCTCAAGAAGATTGACATTGATAAACTTGGTCAGTCTCTTGAGGATAAAGTGAAATGGCTGTAAAATTGTTGACTGGAGCAATAAAAAGACTAATCAGTTGCTTACTCAAATGGATTGTTATTTTCAGGGAATGAAGGAAGATAGAACTTTTGTGAATCTTACGAGGAAAGCAGGCTCACTTCTGTCCTTCATGTTTACAGTGGAAGGTAAGGAAAATCCTTTATGGTTTTATGACTGATTGTTCCATCTATATCCATCTGTTACTGAGGCAGGAATATAACTGACTGCAGGCAGTAGTAACACGTGAAGTTAGAGCTGAGTTAGAGGTGTTACTAGGGAGCTGTCAGCAGGTGTAAGATGTTACTAGGGTGCCGTCAGCAGGTGTGAGGTGTTACTAGGGAGCCATCATCAGGTGTAAGGTGTTACAAGGGAGCTGTCAGCAGGTGTGAGGTGTTACTAGGGAGCCATCATCAGGTGTAAGGTGTTACAAGAGAGCTGTCAGCAGGTGTGAGGTGTTACTAGGGAGCCATCATCAGGTGTAAGGTGTTACAAGGGAGCTGTCAGCGGGTGCAAGTTGTTACTAGATCGGTGACTTTGTGTGCTTGGGGTTAGGTGCCTCACTCTGGCAGTGTGGGTTAGAATCCCAGATGGGACTCAACCCAAAAAGTACTAGCATCTGTACTTTACTGAGAAAGTGTTATCCCAATTATAACATTTGTAATATTTACTGGATGCTTGGAAAGAGATTATAATATCACAACAGATGAGCCTGTATGGGGTCTCAATCTTAACAAACCTAAATTAAGTTGCCTTAGTATTCTAATATAGGTGATGACAGGGTTACTTATATAAAATATTTCAAGGCCATCTATTAAACTATGTAAATATAGCCTTTGTCTTATTGAACAGTATGTCTGGGATATTGGTTCTTGTTACCTCCAGTAACCTATAACTGAAACTAACATTTCATATCTGTATTTTCCCTGAATCCTAATCTATCACATTATTATGGATCTATACGAAATTTTGTGTAAATGTAACACCATGATAATTTTATTTGGATACAATGTGTGAAGCCCATTTTTGGTGTTCCCTACTGGGATATGCTGGATTATTGCTAAAAGTGTCATACAACCATACTCACTCATTTTAGTAGATGAGAGAGTCCACTGTATCCAAAATTTAGAATACCGTATTTGAATGACGTAATAAGCACCTTGACGTAATAAGCACCCCGCTCTAATAAGCTCGCCTACAGCGATATTTGCTAATATATTGGCAAGTGAACAATCCCAATTAGCACCCCTTCTGATTGATCAATGTACACAGGACTCATTTATTTGTGTATAATACGCACTCATGTGTTATATGCACCCTTAATAATGGGCAATTTAATTCTGGAAAATATATCTGTCGTGTATAATATGCACAGACTTTTCTTTCGTATCATTTCAGGCTGTCAGCATAAACCATGAAATTTACGATCTTTCAACTCTGGTTTTTTTCTCACCATTTGCCCCCTATTTCTAATTTTGAGAGTTCCCCTGGGTGCTTATTATGTCGAATACGGTATTGCAATAAAACAGAGTTGCCTCCCCTAACATTTTCAGTCAGTGTGTAATAGTTTTAGCTCGAGGTCTTGTTGCAGTTATTATCACATTTTGCAACTAAAAACTACATGGTGAATGTTAAAGGTATTGCAGTGAAATGTATGGGTTTGGTAGTGGTTTTATTCAGAGGGACTTCCACGAATGAGGCAATGTGTAGTCTGATGCTTATTGTCGATATCACTGAATGCACACTTTTTGTCTCGCTGCACTGGTTTTGTTGCTTGGGAACTTGATCCCATTGTTCAATGAACTTGTGCTTCTCTGCACTACACATAAACCCTTTTCGCAAGGATAAGTGAGCATAGAGTCTGACAATCGTATTAACTGAGCAGAGCATTAAAGTCTTTGATAGGCATTTAGAAGGTGGAGAACATGAATACATGACACTTTTTATGGATAGCAACTTCTTTTACTCTTTGTACTTCTTGCTCCTTCATCAGGTGAATAATGATGAAGCCGATGAGAGCAAAGCATTTTTTACTGACAAAATGGCTGTGACTGTAGTCATCAGTGACATTGCAAACTGACAGCACCAGAACATGGCCACTTTTATGCATATTTGCTTATGATTAGTTAGATGACAAATACATTTTGAAAAATATTAAAATCATTGTTTGCATGTCTTGTTGTAATAAGATATTTAATAGACAATATTGTTTGGGCAGTCAGAATCTGTTATTTTTATTTTCTCTAACATCTATACCTCAAAGCTTAAAGCTCTGCACGCTAACGTCGAACCCATTCGACAGAGGTGTCCATCCCCGTGCATCTGATGTCGAACCCATTCGACAGGTGAATAGCATAACAACACCCCAAAATAAAACTTCCCATATCTATTTACCAAGAAGGCTTTGCGTAACATTTAAATTACGTATGACATGCATAAATGCTCAGCTTGCTCAATATCAAAACGTTCAGTCATTTATTTACCTCAAAAAGAACATATCGCGAGTTAAAAATGTTTCGGCCAAACTTCTCGGCACACAACTACCAGAAACGGCCATTGTTGACTTTTGGCACTTCACGTTGAGCGGCATGCAGTCCGATATTTTCTTTATAATTTCATCATTTTTCCTATTCTATCATAATTTTTTGTTTGCTGACGAAAGGAAAACACTCACGTTCTTTTATTTCTAAAAATTCGCAACTTTCGGTGTAACTAATTGTAAACAAAAACAATCTGAATCGTATCATCATCGATTGGATGGAACTTGTACGATCATGGCAACGGCGGTAAACAAACAACTCCACATGCATAGTTATCCCGTTAGACTATTACAATCATTTTGTTACATCTAACTTAATTTTCTAGAATTATTGACACGTATGTATAAATCTTTGTAAAAAGAATTTCATTCTTAAAGAGTTTGCAAATGATTTCGTTTGATAAACTTTCCGACTCATTGACAAGCCGACAAACGTCAGAGATACGTTTGGGCGTGGCCTAACTCGTGATTTGTTGAGTTGAACAAAGTCAACAAACACTGTGAAAAATGACAAATATTGGATGATACGCAAAATCTGAACTGATATACATTCTAGGTAAACCATTCAATAACAAAATAATGCATTTTACGAGAAATAATCAAAATACTTGCAATTTTAGCTATCATTTCTGAAACTGGAAGCACGTAACGCATGTGACACATGGAAGCAAAATATGCAAAAGTTGGTAAGCTATCATAAAGAAATCCCGAAATAGATTCAAATTCAAAAGAAAATACACAATTTACTATATTTCGTCAACTATTTACTATTTATTGATCCGGGGAGCAGTCTTCACTCCTATTTGTTTCATATTTCTTCGTGATTGTCGCCATCAAATGTGTAAGTCTAAATCCGAAACCGTAATGGATTTCACGCTCGATGAGTTTAATTTTAAAAATATTTTCTAAAAACGAACGCAACGGAGAGCGATACAACGTATTGATATGCCATAATAATAACATAATATTGTTATTGGTCTAATATTACAAAAAGAACAATTTAAATATTAAAGATGTTGTTGAATACTTTCTGAGAACCTCCCGTCCTCTGAACCGATAAAATTTTGGTACACGAGGTAGGCTAGTGTAAATATATATAGATTCTAGGCTCCTAGCTATATATGTGATTTTGTACCCAAAACAAATTAAATTGTACCCAAAATACTTTGTGAATTTGTTTAGCTAAAACATTTGAGTATTGCTAGGAAATCTTCATTGTGGGAAGGTAAGGGTAATATTCATAATACTATAGGAAATATTGCAATAGTGATACCATTATTGTAACAGTGTTGGGGACTGTTGCAATACTATACTTCAGTTAAAATGCCCAAACTAGCCATTCCTCCTGTATATTTTTTTGTTATGTGTTTAGTGATGAAATACTGACTGGAGTGAAATAAGATTTTAACAAAGTCTGCCTCAATGATGCTATGATTTTGGAAATTAGATAATGAAAACTACTCAGACGTATGTAGTATTAATAATTTATACTGCGCCAGATTCCATTCACCAAGTTAATGCTCATGGTGCTACATAGTAGTAGCAATTGCTAATGAAAGGGGAGTAGAGTTGATAGTGTTGTCTGAAAAGGTGTGTTTTCAGATGAGCCTTAAAGGATGAAAGTGATGGTGACAGCTTAAGATCAGATAGTAGTGAGCAGAGCATCTGTCTTTTCTATAACATTCATCTCATCGTCATGAAAAAATCAACTATTTCAGGTTACTCAATGACACAAAATCACAATATATTTTTATTTTCCGAAATAGATATCATCGACCTCCACAACCATGTCATGTCCCGAATGAAGAGGCAGGACCAGTGGGGGGAGCATTTGAAGTCGGAATCAGAACGTCTGCTTCAGGAAGCAGGGGAGAATGATGACATGATGTTTGTGAATGTGACGGACGTATATCGACATCTTCCTCACAAATTGCTATCATGTCATCAGTGGTGAGAAGCAAATTTTTTCTCATATTGATAGACCGTATTAGAGACAAAATTGGGCCCAAAAAATCTTTTAGAGTAATCAATGCTTGTTAGGAAATTGAAATGTTTTGGAAAAAAGATCTTCGCCATAGGTGCTTTTTGGTGTAATTTACATTATGAAAAGAAATTGAAAATTATTAATCAAATTCATAAATTATGTACCCAAGCCATTGATGGGATAGTGAAATGTAATGTAGTGCATTCTAGTGGTATGATAGTGGATATAAACCTCAGATCTCCGAAGCCTGATTTTAGCTTTTGCCTTGTTGATCAGAACCATGCCCGTTGGTTCATCAGTGATGACTGAATTGATTTACTTTGGACCTCTCTCATTGTGCTCACTTAATTATTATTATTTCACAAAAAAGCACTTGTATTAAGTATTCTTGAAATTTGGATCTAATTTTCATAACTGTTCAGAATAAGCTAAAACCTTGCAGCAATGTCAGGGTTGAAAACAAAACTGTTGCATGCATAAATGCATCCCCCTTCAACCAGGAACATGATCTCCATTCCCCATTCCATTGTCAGTACTTGTTCTTTGTCCAGACAATCATAATTAAGTGTCATATATCTTCATTGAATTGTTAATATGTACTATTTTCTATGTATTAATACTCATTTTCCAATGACATTTAAGATCTATATTTTGTTGCCCATAAGATCTGTGTAATAGGTCACCATGGTCTTTGTATAAATAGTATCTCTGTGGAGAGATAGATAGTAAGCGATGAAGAGGAGCTCTTACACAGAGCAGGCCTGATTGTTGTCGAACATCTGCAGAATATGGTTCAATGTTGACAGTATAACCCTCATTGACTCCCTCCCACATCTAGCTGACATGACATAATTTTAGAATACTGTTCAAAGCACTCTCACTCACTCACTCACTCACTCACTCACCTGGCCACCAACCCACTCACTCGCTCATGGACCCACCCACCCACCCATGTCACTCACTCACTCACTCACTCACTCACCCACCCACCCAAAAAAAAAACACCGACACACCCACCCACCCACTCACTCACTCACCCACAAACCCACCGACACACCCACCAACCCACTCACTCACTCACTCACTCACTCACTCACTCACTCACTCACTCACTCACTCACCCATACACCCATGTCACTCACTCACTCACTCACTCACTGAACATATTTGCCAAAGTAAATTAAAATAGGCTGAGACGTTAAATCATTAATTCTTAAGGAGTATCTTTTTCTTAAGGAATTGTCAGAAGACAGCCTCTTTTGCTTCAGCATGCCACTGGGTGTCAGAATGATCAATTTTGTCTCTGAGCAGCATTATAATGATTCCCTAAAGGCAGTTTTCCCAACAGAAACTTTTAAAATTCTTTCAGATATAATTTTAGAGCCGACCTACGTTTGCTTTTTTTAAAACAAACCTGTTAGCTGCAAGTTATGAGGTACTTGAAAGCACTTGAAAGATCAAGGGTAGTCCAGACATCGTGAGTCAATATTAATTCTCAGAATCACTGACACATCATATCCTCATCTTAGTTCTTGTATCTGGATGCTTGCTGTATAATTTCACCTGCAACAAACTGTTATGTATTGCCAATTATATTGGAGCTATTTATCAAATTGCCAGGAATACATGAAGAAAGTGTTGAGTCAATTTCAACCTCAACTGACTGCATTACTCTGCACACTTTTTTCCTCTGAAACCTTTTCCAAAATTTTCCACTTGAGAAGTAAGTAGAAATAGGAGATTCCTTCAAAAACATCAGCGTTGAAAAAAATCGTTTCAGATTATTCTCATCTGGCAAGTTTACAAAGCAGGGACCATTGGCCGTCCTTTGTAATAATTCAGTTTTGTATGTTTGGAATTATTTCAAATGATTTATTTTGCAAAATACACTTATTTTCAATCTTCAGTTAAATGTAAGGTGAGAGTGGAAAGTGTAAATGAAATTAAGACAGACTTTGAAATGATTGCATCAAAGTCTCTGCCCAGTTTCGAAGGGTTGCAGATTCTTTTCAGTGTTTCTTCTGCTTTGAAGCAAGGGGATGATGTTCGATTTTGAGAGATCAATCAGAAATAATAGCCAGTGAAAACAGCAAGGATTGGGACAAGAAAATAGCGTTAAAGAGCTGAAATACTGAAACAAGTTTGCCTTCATGAGTAACAATCCTTTTCCGGATTTCACATGATGGTAGCGAGAAATCGAGACCCTCAAAGTAGGTTTTGAAAAGCCAATTTGGATCAATTGGATCACATTTGACAGGTTATTAGAAACTATGTGTGATTCTTTTCAAAAGGACTTGCCCTTTTAATTCGTAATCTCCATAGGACATTAAGAAATCGATGCAATGAAATTATAGCAATACCAGTCTGGGAAAGCTGAAGTAATGTGGGGTAAGTGATCCTAGTATCTCCATGAAAGTTCATTTCCAGAAGGTGTTATTTTCATTAAAGATTTTAAAATCTTTTAGATTTGCTCCCTTTTTTCAAAGACTGCTTTGATGTCCGAGAGCGTTTCTTGGAGTCATGAATACAGGGGTTTATCAATTATCCTTGATTTCATCCAAACTTTCTCTGAGTAATGACCTTGAGGAAAGAAAACTGCTCCAAGTTCAAAATGATGTATTAGACTGGAGGAAGAACGTTTTGATGGGGGAAAAAAGGATGAAAAAAAAAGATGAAATCTAAGACCTATCATTCATGCTTGGCCACACCAGCCCAGAATATACACTTGACGATTAAAGAAAACAAAACGAGGATTTGAAATGTGCTTAAATGTTGGTGATCGATAACCTTTGAAAAGTCATAGGGTGAGAACTTATAACATGGAAGCACTTATGCGCAAGTAAACTGAAAAAGGTAATATTTTTTACCGAAAAAAAATTGAAATTAAATGCTAAAAAATTGATTCAGACAAGAAAGTACTAAAACCTGTAAAAATATGTTTGGGAGTTTGCAATTTCTTCTATAAGCAACTTAATGAATGTTTTGTGTGAATTACAATATTTGGTGGTAAACAATCTCCGATAGGGTTTATTCACTTTGGAAGGATAAGGATATGATTCCTAATACTGGTTGATGTCATGAAAATAGTATGACATGGATGGTGTTGTGAAGATACTATGATGTAGATGTGGTGTCATGGAGATAGTGTGATATGGATTTGGTATCATAGAGATAGTATGTTATGGATGTGGTGTCATGGAGATAGTGTGATATGGATGTGGTATCATAGAGATAGTGTGATATAGATGTGGTGTCATGGAGATAGTATGATATAGATGTGGTATCATAGAGATAGTGTGATATAGATGTGGTGTCATGGAGATTGTGTGATATGGATGTGGTGTCATGGAGATTGTGTGATATGGATGTGGTGTCATGGAGATAGTGTGATATGGATGTGGTGTCATAGAGATACTATGATATGGATGTGGGGTCATGGAGATAGTGTGATATGGATGTGGTGTCATGGAGATAGTGTGATATGGATGTGGTGTCATGGAGATTGTGTGATATGGATGTGGTGTCATGGAGATACTATGATATGGATGTGATGTCATGGAGATACTATGATATGGATGTGATGTCATGGAGATACTATGATATTGATGTGGTGTCATGGAGATTGTGTGATATGGATGTGGTGTCATGGAGATCATATGATATGGATGTGGTGTGATGGAGATAGTATGATATGGATGTGGTGTCATGGAGATAGTATGATATGGATGTGGTGTCATGGAGATAGTATGATATAGATGTGGTGTCATGAAGATCATATGATATTGATGTGTTGTCATGGAGATACTATGATATGGATGTGGTGTCATAGAGATTGTGTGATATGGATGTGGTGTCATGGGGATAGTGTGATATGCATGTGGTATCATAGAGATAGTGTGATATAGATGTGGTGTCATGGAGATAGTGTGATATGGATGTGGTATCATAGAGATAGTGTGATATAGATGTGGTGTCATGGAGATAGTATGATATAGATGTGGTATCATAGAGATAGTGTGATATAGATGTGGTGTCATGGAGATTGTGTGATATGGATGTGGTGTCATGGAGATTGTGTGATATGGATGTGGTGTCATGGAGATAGTGTGATATGGATGTGGTGTCATAGAGATACTATGATATGGATGTGGGGTCATGGAGATAGTGTGATATGGATGTGGTGTCATGGAGATTGTGTGATATGGATGTGGTGTCATGGAGATTGTGTGATATGGATGTGGTGTCATGGAGATACTATGATATGGATGTGATGTCATGGAGATACTATGATATGGATGTGATGTCATGGAGATACTATGATATTGATGTGGTGTCATGGAGATTGTGTGATATGGATGTGGTGTCATGGAGATCATATGATATGGATGTGATGTCATGGAGATCATATGATATGGATGTGGTGTCATGGAGATAGTATGATATGGATGTGGTGTCATGGAGATAGTATGATATGGATGTGGTGTCATGGAGATACTATGATATGGATGTGGTGTCATGGAGATAGTATGATATAGATGTGGTGTCATGAAGATCATATGATATTGATGTGTTGTCATGGAGATACTATGATATGGATGTGGTGTCATAGAGATTGTGTGATATGGATGTGGTGTCATGGGGATAGTGTGATATGCATGTGGTATCATAGAGATAGTGTGATATAGATGTGGTGTCATGGAGATAGTGTGATATGGATGTGGTATCATAGAGATAGTGTGATATCGATGTGGTGTCATGGAGATACTATGATATGGATACATTATGGTGAAATAGTATGTTACGGATGTGGTGTTGTGAAGATTATTAGTTATGGTGTCTTTAGTTGCTATGTATGATGTCATAAAAATATTGGGCGAGGTGTCAGGTAACCTAATATTTATTATTCCTAACAGGGTACACTATCTGTTATCCATCTTACACATGTATGTCATGTCAAAATAGGATT